GCGTAAGTCCATAAGTCCATGGCGCCACAGGTGTCACAGATTGGCAAAATCTGCTCCAGCTTTCGCTATTCGGACGATAGAAAAGCTGCCCGCCATCAAGTTGGGTGGCGGTGATAGTGTTCGTACCTCGAGCCGTAAGATCCAAAGAACGCCGGTGACAGCGACTAAACCACTGCACGTTTACCTAATATTGTCGGAACCCCCAAAACGGTGATGTTTAATAAACTTGAAACAAAAAAATCAATCTTTGATGTGTCTATGTGGGTGACAGTATCCGGCTAACCGTGCAAGAACAAGTTACGTTCACGATAAGTTGGATGATGTCTCACAGTTTGACTGTTGTGTAGAGTAAAGCCGATTGACAATTAGCAGCACGACATATCAGAATGAAGTTGGCGTCGGTCTACACCCTCGACGGACGAAATTTTCAAAGTTATTCTCATTATTTTTCGGCTCCAATTCATTCTAAGTTTTCTGATTCACCCTTACTTTTCAGCTTTGTCTTGCCTCTTTCTGAACTATGGAGGAACTTGGTTTGGCGCCTCAGCAACCCAAGGTGATAGATATCCCTGTAGTTTCCTATATTTTCTGTCACATAGGAAGTGGAAACAGTAGACAACGCGGCCATCAACTTTGGTTATGTAGATCCACTACATTTGAGTGAAGATGATCTCTATGTGAAATTGAAGGTTTGTCAAGCAACCCGGGCATAATAATCACTGGTTTGGCCATGTAGAGCTTGAAGAAGCAGATCGAATTTATTCAAATCCAAGAGAACTACATCAAGGATGAACAGAAGAACTTGAAGAAGGAGTACCGTCATGCACAGGAGGAAGTAAAACGCATCAAAAGTGTTCCACTGGTGATTGGTCAATTCTTGGAAGCAGTAGATCAGAACACGGGCATCCTAGGCTCCACTACTGGTATTCTATTTCCTGTTGAATGAATGTATTTATTTTCCGCTCACACAGGCTCTAATTACTATGTTCGCATTCTGTCGACCATTGATCGTGAATTACTCAAAGCCGGTGCCAGTGTTGCACTGCATAAACACAGCAACGCATTGGTGGATGTGTTACCACCGGAAGCGGACAGTTCAATAGCTATGCTTCAAGCAGGTATTGGCTTCATTTTATTCTTATTTTCGCTTAATGATCGTCAGTTGTTCTCGTCAGTTATTGAGAGTCAACATGTTGCTTCCGCCTTACTGAAATCTTACTTACCCAACTTAGTCCAATCCGGCCTCAGAAGGCTTCACATGGCAGTTTGTTACAAGGAAACGTCCCCAGCGTCACGCGGATTTTTTTACCACTCACCTCTAGCCTTTGGATAATCATTGCGGACTGCAAAGTAGAGACGTTATCAATGTCTTCATAAGGCTCACCGGCTATTCGACTGTTGTCTAATCAGCCCATGGCTTCATGCATTCCTACAGGTTTCGTTGATGCTGGTTGGATCAGCTAGTGGATCTCTTCTGCACTCAAGAGAGTAGCAGCCTTCACTTTCCTTACATAATTTGGCCCGGGTTTTGAAGCCATATTGACCCTCATTTTGATTTAACCCACCGGACGAGCGATTTGCCAGGGTTCGGCTGCGTGCGCGTGCCACATGTAGGTTAAATAGGTACATCAATATATCCGGGAGCCAAGAATAATATCCTCAAAAGGCTTAAATCCAAATCTGAGTATCACTACTGCAGATGCAATCAGTAGGCAGCAAATACTGGTCATCGCCATAAATTCTTGAGTAACTTGACCCCGGCTGTGGTGAACCAGCGCAAAAGCAATGGTACCCTCCGATCCCCTCCACTCACTTGGGCATCTGCGCCCTGATTACAACACAAAATATACGCGAGTGAACCTGTTTAACGCGGTTAATCAATGCTGGGCGGAGGTGACGGTTATACAGTAATAAACTTTTCCCCCGTGAAACCGAGGACTAAAACCACAGCAGTCTATTTTGTAATCGAGTGTTGTGGTGCACATGAACCAACGCGTTTGCTCTCACCTGCAGACTGAACAATAAAATGGTCTGTTGGACCATTTAATGGCAAATGATTGGCTCATTTTGACTACAATGACTCACCATCAGACACATTTTGCCCGATCGATTGTGTTTCCAAACTATCAAACGGGCTGGGCTGGTTGATTAAAGCATGGAGTAAGCCTTTGAGGTGGAGCGAATAAGCTTGTGTAGATTGGACTGAGAAACTGTGCATTTATTTTTCCTTCACATGTATAGTTTCCACCTTTATATTCGGTATTTAGGTGCTGAATTAAGTATCCTTTATTCGTTGGGTTTATGCTATCGTCCTAGTACTCTCAAATGAGCTATTTGTCTAAGTTGTAAATTGTATCCTACGATACTACTGTTACAACAATCTGGTCCAGATGACAGGTTTGGAGAATGTGTGTGTACAAAATGAAATAATAAAATAGAAGATATATAGTTTTATGAAAGTTTTTGTTACTGAAACATCTGAGCAAGCGAACTATATTTTTGCACAATTTATTTTGGTGATTATGTTAAAATATCATTCTTGGTAATCGGTTCTAGTTCTAAACATTGCTCGTTAATGCAAATATGAAATTTCGTTGTATTTCCCCAGAGATCGTACAGTCTTGCACACTTGTTAACTCGAGCGTCTATCGTTTTGGATCAGTGTCAATCTATTTTGTTTTACAAAAGCCAATTTCAACTACTCATGAGTAGCCTAAATAAACTTGCCAATATTGTTTCACGTTTTCACGGTTACGAACACTAAGCTCTTCCTCCATCATTTTGTGCATTTTTCCTCCTCTCCCCAAAGACGAAAAGCCGGACGTTGCCTACTCTGATATCGGTGGTATGGATACACAAAAACAAGAAATGCGGGAGGCTGTGGAATTGCCACTCACTCACTTTGAATTGTATAAACAAATCGGAATTGACCCGCCTCGTGGTGTGCTCATGTTTGGACCCCCGGGATGCGGCAAAACAATGCTTGCTAAAGCGGTCGCTCATCACACGACCGCAGCTTTTATTCGTGTGGTCGGTTCAGAGTTTGTGCAGAAGTATCTCGGTGAAGGTCCGCGTATGGTGCGTGATGTATTTCGACTGGCCAAAGAGAATGCTCCAGCTATTATTTTTATCGACGAAATTGACGCCATCGCCACAAAACGATTTGATGCACAGACCGGGGGTATGTTTTTCATTTAAAACGCTTTTGTATTCGAAAACCCCTTGCATACAAGTCGTTTTCTTATCCTGTGTACCATNATCAACAATCTGCGCACTCGTCCCTTATTGTCTGTCTTCGTGAATGTGAGGTAAAATTTATCCGTTTGTTACGCGTCTCCATGTGGCTCTCAATAAAAGGTGTGAACCTCATTCAGGGGTCTTACCATATGATTATATGTCAGTGGCTTTCAAGAATTTAATTAGAAGAAAAAATGATGATTAAAACCAAACTATAAGCTCGCTGCACATCACGGTTAGATATAACTGTTTAAGTGAACCGACGTAGTTTAATGTTCAAACACGGGTTATTCGGTTGAGTCACCGAAGAATCGTGACGGTCGTAGGATATATCGTTACGCACAGCTTTTCACTCCCGATCGCGGACTGGATGCAAGTGGTGTCGTCACAAACGCAATTTAATTTTCTATCTTGAGTGTTTGTGTAACGTCAGTGGAGACATCGTTCAGGGGGGAAGCAATTGGCCATGTGAACTGATCGTTAGAAGGCTATAACTTGTTTTTCCCTCACCTGATTCTTGTGGTTAGTGCAAATGAGGTTTATCATATTACTTTTCAACTAAAATCCGTTCATAACTTTTCATTTGTTTTGCAGTGCAGATTCCATGTTTTTCTGCAAAGATGACTCAAAACTATTATACATATATTCTTATTTAGCACAAAGGTGTTGCTGCACTCGGATTCAACCTTTGCTAATGCAACCTGTGA